CTGATGAGATGTTTTCCAGTTCCATGTGTTTGACCAACGGCATTCGCAGAAACTGACCCTTGATAAGGAAATCAAACTCCACATGTTTGTGGAACTCTAATAAAATAAAATAAAATAAAATCATTACTCTTAGGCCCTGAAGTGGTATTGCATGGCACAATCAGGCCATGTATTCCAGTATACTATGTGATTTTTAAGAACAGAAATAGTTTTTTCTGTTGGTATGTTTCTGTTAGTATAATTAACTTTTTAAAAAAACCTTTTATTCTATGAAAAAATTTCAAATATATAGTACATAAGTAGAAATAACATAATGAATCCCTATCCCCATCACACACACTGACAGTTACCAACTCATGGACAATCATACTCCATTCTCCACTACCCCACTGGTTTATTTTAAAGCAAACCTCAGATATGGTATCATTTTGTAAATGCTTTAGTATGTATCTCTAAATATAGGGACTTAAAAAAAACTCATGTTAAAATATTTAATAATTATTCCTTAAAAAAAGTCATGTTAAAATATTTAATAATTATTCCTTTGAATATCAAAAGCCAATGTTCACATTTCCTTATTTCATAAAATAGTTTTACAGTGAGCTTTTTAGAATCAGCATCCTAAGTCCACATCTTATATTTGATTAATCTTTTACTTAATCTTTAACAGTTCCTCCTTTCTTTCCCTTGCCATTCATTTATTTGTCGAAGAAACTGAGTATCTGTCTCTTAATATTTCTTACATTCTGGGTTTGATTACATTTCCAACGTGTCCTTTAACACGTTCCTCCTACCACCTAAATACCCTGTACACAAGACAGACCTAAACACTTGATTGGATTTCAGGTTTGCTTTTTTTTTTTTTTGGAGGGGATGGGCAAAAATACTTACAGTATTGTGTATTTGCTATTGCATCACACCAGGAAGCATGTTATCTCATTGTGTTTATGCTATTAAGATCCACCTCTGGGCTCAGATGATGTCAATCTGATCCCATCCATCATTTGTCAGCCTTTTACCTAATTAATGGTTTTAACAGCTATTGATAATCACTACTTAAATCTATTATTTCATTTGGAGTTACAATATGCTGCAAATTCTTCATTCTTTCTGCATTTATTAGATATAATCCTTCTGAAAGAATTCCCTCATTGACTATTTGGATTGTTCCTTTTAAAAAATCTGAATAATTTGCATCTTCAACTGAAGAGCAATGACTCAGTTATTCAATTTATACGAAAAGATAAACCAATGTTCATCTACAAGTTTAGAAAACATGCAACTATTTGGGTAACAACAAAAACCATATACCAGTATTGCAAAACTTCTAATTGCAAGAATAATTCTTATTGTAGTTCTAAGGCTTTTTCAATAGGTAGAATATATGACATTTTTGAAATTTAGCAAAGTAGCTATGCATCAGAATCTCTATACATCCATGATGGATGTCAAGACAAAGACCAATAGGAAATGCTATGTGAATATCTCTGAAATCAAGAACTAAAGCTTACTAGCAATGAAAAGATGGCAGACCCTGTGGCCCAGAAAATAATTGTTCAAAAACATCATCTCATACTTAACAAAAAGGTTATGGGATTATTTGAAGATGGAGAAAATATAGGCATTAATTTATAACTCTCACCTCCCTATTCCTCCAACTAGGGTAGAATCAAAAAAGCTTTGAAACATTAGAAACATCTGCTTAAAAATATGCTTGCCTCTAAATGTGTCTCCATTGACAAATTTTGTTTTTAAAGATCATACTTTGTTATTTTTTAATTTTTCATGTTTAAATCTTCTATTTTATGCATGGTTTTACTTTTTTGTTTTTTTGTTTTTAAATTTTATTGGGGAACAGCCATGGTCATTGGTTACATATTGCTTTCATGCTACAATGGCATAGTTGACTCCTTTAAGGAGGGCGCAGCTCACAGTGGCCCATGTGGGGATCAAATCGACAACCCCGGTGTTATCAGCACCACGCTCTAACCAAATGGTCTCCTCTTGGTTTTTAAAAAACATCTTATAGAAAATTTCAAATATACCGTATGCAAAAGCGGAGAATAAGCCTTATAATAAACATTCATATACCTGTCACGCAGCTCCAATGATCAATCTATGGTCAATCTTGTTTAATCACTTTTTGCATACTTTGTTCTTATTAATTTTATGGGCTAATAATTTATATTCATGCCTAACATGTTTAACATTTATTTGTTTATAAATGTTTTACTTGAAACTTTTGCATGTTAACAAATGTTTGTTTTATCCATTAATTTTTTAATGAATTCTAAATACTTAAAAAATACCAGTATTTATATTGACATTTGTTATTACACAAAATAAATACTCAAATACTGATACTGCCATTTGCTTTGTAGAAATATAGCACATGGGGCCGAGCACCAACACGCTTGTTCTGTGCCTGCCCAACTCAGCCCTCTTAGCACAATCACAATGTCTTGATTACTTCTATATGAGAACTATGATACTAAAATCTTTATTTGTAAATCTCAACCACCTTATTTTCATGTTGTCAAAAACAGATTAAACAGAAATTCTTTCTCCTGAAAACTTTTATTTCAAAGCATTTTTCAAAGTATCATGTAGCAGGGAAACCCTTATGTTATGATTTATAAAACTTACCATTATAAAATGTATACCATTATAAATGCATTATAAAATAAGGCCAAAAAGCAAAATTAAAATGTGATTTATTTTAGTGTAGTTACTGGTATTGTTCCCTCTCGTAACTTTTCCGCACATATATACCCACCATTTTTGGCCTCCAGCAATTTATTGATGATGTTACTAAGGTCAGGAATTTCAGAGGCTGCAGGGATTGAGAAGGGAACATCATCTACCGCGTATCTATAAAAAGGAAATGAAACGTCAATATCAAGTCTACAGATATTTTAACGAATGTGAATTTATTCATTCAACAAACATTTACTAGGTATCTAATACATGCCAGACATTTTGCTACATGGGGTTAACAAAAATGAATTAAGACGTGGTCTCTGTTCTCAAAAAGGTTCAAGTCTGGTAATCAAATAGAATGAAACTATATAAGAACAATGTCATAAGTAATATTTAAAATGGGAGAACAAAGAAACCATAAGTCATTTCAACTACCGAAAAGGATGAGAGAGCAGGGTCTGAAAGGATGCACAAAAAAGATCACTCTTAAAGCTACATATAGTCAAGTGAGTTTTTGCCAGGTGAAGGAGGGGCAGACAGGAAGAAGGGATGCAGGAAAGCAGGGAGAGCAGCAAAACAGTAGCTAAGAGTTACTAAACTGCCTACCCAACCTATTCCAGAAAGTGTGATTTTGCCCTAAATAGTGACCAAAGAAAAGACATAAATGTTGGGAGAATGTGGAGAAATTAAACCCTATTCATTGCTGGTGGGAAATGTAAAATGGTGATGTAGCTTTGGAACATCTGGCAGTTCCTCAAAAAGTTAACCCTCACTTGGGAGCAACTTATCTCACAGATTCATTGCACACAAATTTTCAAATATCTAACAGTTAAGTATCGCAACTCATTGCTTCCGTATCTTTGCCCTCTACCGTAACCTGTCACCAGTTGTGTTTGTGACTTAGTATAAAGACATATTTCATATTTGAAAATTTGTGTGCAATGAATCTGAGATCAGCTGTGCCCAACAGTGGGTTAAACATGGAATTACCATTTGATCCAGCAACTGTACTCCTAATTATATATCCAAGAGAAATGAAAATGTATGTACACACAAAAACTTTTACACAAATGTTCACATCACCACTATTCATAATAGCCAAAAGGTAGAAGCAACCCAAATGTCCATCAACTTGAACAATGGAAACAAAATGTGGTATATCCATACAATGGAATATTATTTGGCCATAAACAGGAATGAAGTACTGGTACATATTACAACACAGATGACCCCTGAAGTCAATCACAAAAGACTGCATGTTATATAATTCCACTTATATGAAATGTCCAGGACAGACAAATCTACAGAGACAGAAAATAGATTTAGTGGTTGCTCAGGGCTGAGGAACTGGAAGGACTGAAGGTAACAGGCTAAAAGGTAATGAAGCATATTCTAAAATTGACTTGTATTGACGGTTGCATAATTCTGCAAATATACTTAAACCACTGAAATGGACACTTTAAATATTGAATTCTATTGTATGTGAATTACATCTCAAAGTTATTACAAAAGAAAACAATCCCCATAAGGCCTGAATTAAGGCTTTATTTGTGAGAAATAGAAAATTTTCAAAAGATGTTAAGGTAGAATCTACAGGGCTCATCAAGACATGCTACAGTAAGTCTCTTTTTGCCACAGTGGGGGTGAGGTTTCAGATCTTGTCAAAAAGTAGATCTTGTCTAAATAAACAGGTCTGGGGTGGGGTCTGAGATTCTGCTTTTTCTAATAAACTCCCAAGTTATGCTGCCATGTTGATGGTCCTCAAACTACCCTTTAAGTAGTAAGGCTGTAAATATATATATTTATCATGCCAAAAAAAGGAAGAAGTTGGGCCGGCTGAGTGGCGCGTTGGTTAAGAGCTGGCTTGGGACGCCAGAGGGCCCCGGTTCGGATCCCACATATGAGGGCCAGTGACACTGTCCTCTACAGCTAAGATGCTGAACAGCTCAACCTGGAACTGGGCTGCTGTGAGTAGCCAGCAACTGCAGGTGGGTTGCCATGGGCTACCATGTGTAGCCAGCAGCCAGCGTGAGCGGCCAGCAGCAGCGTCCAGAAGCCGGTGACTGATCTGCCTCGCCCGGGAAGAGCGCAATGATGGTGCCAACTTGGGCCAGTGAAGCAATGTCCTCCACAAATAGANGTCCAGAAGCCGGTGACTGATCTGCCTCGCCCGGGAAGAGCGCAATGATGGTGCCAACTTGGGCCAGTGAAGCAATGTCCTCCACAAATAGACTGAAGAACAAAACAACAGCAACTTGTCTGTTCTCCTTTCCCCGATTCCCCAGCACTGTTCCCCTCCCCCGATTCCCCAATAAAATCTTTTTTAAAAAAAGGCAGTTATTTGGGTTCTCCAAAGGTAACAAAACCTAGAAATTAAATCTTTTCGTTCTTCCTTTCGCTTACCATTTTACTCAGTAAAATGAGGTGGGGGAGGGTAGCATAATTCACATGCACACAAATAAATATATATGTAAATTATATACATATGTGAATAAAACTATTTTACCCTTTCATTTAATTGACCAGAACATATTACTATTTTTGAAGAATCTAAATATATGTACACACACATATATATATATGACATTTGGTTATCTCTGGGATTAAAATGTTCTATTATTTTTTAAGACTTCATGTGAATCACCAATAATTTAATAAAAATTTCAACTAGGAAAAATACAGTGGCCATGTTATTCCATCACCACATTTCTTGACATGTATTTAGACTAAATATATATACTCATACGCATTGATAACACAATTTATGTGTACTATAAGCAATAATACAAGAGGAGTGAATATGATTTACCAGGTCAACTCATAAAGCTACAAACACACCACATGACATAATTAGATTTCAAATGCATGCAGGGGACTATTGGTAAAAATGTTTATATATACACATACATATACATATATATAAATACACAAATCTGTAACAATTGACGTCACACTCATCAAAAATCAGATCTACCAAACCCTTTTTCAGAGTTCCACTTTCTAGCCTAGTTTAGGGAAGCATCGTCTATCACCTACTTAAAAAGTTGTGTTTTCAGAAACTGTGAAACACCACTAGCCGACAGCCTGTAATGCCTTTGTCCATTGCTCATTGTTAAATTACATTATGTGCTTCATTCAGGAAGCAAACCTAAAGCCCTGAAGGCTCCTCTATACTCATAATTCAAATTATACTGAGGTTGAGAAGCTAGGCAGAAAGGAGGTGATATCGGAAGTTGGTCCCTAAGGAATCCTGAAGGTACCGCTTCCACGTGAGCAGAAAACACGCTCAAGCGAGGAGTCCAGGAAAAAAAAAAAAGTGTGTGTGGGGAGAGGGGGGCGGGCGGGGGGAAGGGGAGCTTGAAAGTGGATACGGCAAAGACAACCAGGGATCCAGAAGGTCATACCGAAGGGGTCCTTGGAAAGGATCCCAAGTAGGAGAGAGAAGGGGAAGGCGCTTACTTACTTCTTGTTGTCAGTGAAGAAGCGTGTCTGGAGCTGAGCCATGACGGAGAGCACACGCAAGACTTGCCTACAGAAACGTATGGGGTAATGGTCAGACAACGCGCGCTCTGGTCCCTTAGGCTAAAAAATGCAGCTCAAAATTAGACTGCACAGAAAAGCAGAAGCTGCAGTCCAAGACTTGGATTCCGCTTTCTTTCCTCAGGCCGCCTCACCAAGAAGAGACCACGAGGCTGCCCTTCTACCGAGGCCCAGCCCACAAACATCAACTACCTATTCATAGATTTAGGAATCATCGATTAGGACAGCATAATCTTAAAGACGGCGTGTCCTTTTACTCTTTTTGGATTTATTTTAATATACTTAGGCCTGTAAACGAGTATGAAGTTACAGAAAGGTCCAATTCAAATCTGCTTCTCCCTCTTTTCTTAAATTCAAGATGCTGTCTTTAGACCTAATGCTTCAAACACAGCTCCTAGATACTACAGCACCCAGAAAGCAGCGCTTTATCACACGCTGTGAGCACTGGGAATTGTAGTCTTTTGCCACGCTACCCTCAGGATATCTTATTTTCATTAACCTTCCCGACTCCAGCCCCTATATCTATTATATTTCCTGTCTTCGGCTTTAATTTACTAAAGCCGTTCCGGGATTATTTTCTCATGCATGCTCCCAATCAGAACTTCACTCTACCGAGATTTTTCGTGGCCTCTCGCTTCTAGCTTTAGACTGAAAATCCAGAGAGGAGGGAATACAAAAAAAAAAAAAGAGAGAAAGAAATCACAAAGGAAACCAACGACGGTGGCCGATAGTAGTCCTAGTTCTTGGTAACGCGCTGCGCGCTCTCAAAGGAGGTGCGCCTGCGCCTTGTGCTCGTCTCCATGGCGGGGCCTCGGAGCCAAGACGAGGTTGAGTAGACTCGTTTTGAATTTTCTCCCTTCTGCTCCAGCACTTTGTGGACTACCCTCCTCGCCCTGTAGGGCTCTCGGCGGCGGCGGGACTGGGGGAGTCGGAGGTTTGGCAGAGCTGTCTGCGAGCCGACAGACCGGACGCTACTTCCCAGCCCCCCCC